ATGCCAATAAAACACGCATAATGTCAATAGTCCGCGCCTCATCCTCTTTTAAGGTTAGGAGGTAAGCTCTTTCACAGGAATTCCTCAAACTGCAGGAACTACAAACCTGACACATGAATAAAAGTTAATAATGCAATAACCAGTACGCAAAAAATAAAACTTTGGAGGAAAGCAAAATTACCAAAGCAAAAAGAAACATAAAAAGATAAGGTAGAACCGTCAAAAGATAGTTATAGTTGCGAAAATTCAATCAACATGAAGGAAATTGTTAACAGATATTATTTTTAGTTTTGATCAAATTAACAGGAAAAGAGAATCAACTAGGAACATGACGCTGTCAAGTTTAATAAAACAGTACTCACATCTCCTTCATCAAGATGCACGTGTCTCCTCAACAATTTTGCAGAAAAAACCACTTTCTTGTCTGCACTTGGGCATCCGAAACCCACCAAATTCTGAATATCCTGTCTCGACAAGGACCTGAAATTAATTTTTCTGTCTCAGCACCTCCAGAACAAGCTGGCAGTTATTACAAGTTACAACATTGTCAACCCAGCAGACCAGCACATGAATTAGCAACATTGAACGAGAAAAACACCATACACTAGCCCTAGCAGAAAGAGGAAAAACAATGGAGGAAAACTAGAAACCCCATTATCTTACAATCAGAGCTAAAGTCTTAATTGTGGCATCAAATATACATATTCGAATTGCTTAATTGGATTTTCGACATAAAGCTACAATTTTGATTTGGGTTAACTTCATGATTAGACTCTGAGTTCATAAAAATTGAGAATTTTTGTTAACAAAAAAAGTTTATGGACAAGAAAATGTTAGAAAGGACTAATGGGAACATTTTAGCAAGTTCAGCAGCATGATTTCGCCCTAGTTTACTCGAGTAATCAGTCCGCAATTATCAAAACAATGAATTGAGAAACGGAACTACGAACCTCAAAATATCGAACCGGTCCTTTCCGAAATTGACGCAGGCGGTCTGAACAAGCTTGAAATTGCTGAAATCCAATCCACCAGCGTCGCCTCCAGCCCTAGAATCCTGATACCGGTGATCAAACCCCAAATCCTCGATCATTTTATCCTCGTCCTTCCTCCGATGATCGAAGTAGTTCTGCTGAA